TGTCCACCATAGCCAGGTAGGTGCCTCGCCACTCTCCTCCTTCGCCCCCTTCTTCCTCCTCCTCAGGCTGGGCTGCTCGCCATAGCCAGGCTGAGCACCAGCTGCCCTTCACCTCCAAGCAGCGCTGTATCAGCCCAGCGCTGTTCTCCAGCAGCATGTCGCCAATCCTTGCATACCGCAAATGAGGAGGAGCTACTTGCTCCTCCGGAAGATATAGCGGCCTACTGGCCTCTTGGGCGGTGACTTCCTAGGCCGAGTGGCCTCCCAGCAACCGGTACCTCCTCCCTTTCGGAGGGATACATCATTGCAGGCTCTGCTATCCTCTGGACAGGCCCTAGACCCGGGCTACTTGGACTGGTACCGGCCTACCTCTAGCCTACCGCTACTGGACCTCTAAAAATGCCAACTTTTTGTCTTCTTCTGCTAGGCCTCAAGTACCCGACGCTTCTACCACTACTTCAGTGGTACAGCCTACCTGCAACTTGAGTGTTTTTCCCTTCTGCTCTAAGTGTCGCGGGCCTACCCCCCGCTACTGGAGTGTTTTACCCTCTGCAACCCTCAAAGTCACGGCTACAGGTAAGTACCGGCCCTGCGGGGCCTTTCAACAAACAAGTACCCTTGCGGGTCATACACACACTCAGCCGACAAGCACTCAGACAGGCATGCAAACCAGCAGGCACACACACACACACAGACATGGAAATCACAGCAGAATGCGGGAATTTCAGCAAGGCATTCATTCCAGCGGCAAATCCTAGAAATCAGCAGTGTTCTCAGTCTGTGTTTTTGGCGGGTCATTACACATATTGTATTCAATCTTGAGTATTGACTTGCCGGGAACCGGACTGACGCTCCCCAGAGTGGAAAAGGAGCCAGGCCCATAAGGACCTGTTTTGTTATAAAAAAAAGAAAAAAAAAGAATTGACAATTTAGTTCTTCATGACGTCCGTTGAAAAATACAGGGAAGCTTTATTAGCCCCTGTGCACTCAAGGAGTATTTATCGAGAAATGGTCCAAATGCAATCAGACCCGGTTTCTTCTTCAACTTCATGCATGCAACAGATGGCCAAGCACACTGGCGCCAAGAGCCCACTCAAAGCTCAGAGATATGGAAACCAAGAACACAGTTCAGACGCAAACTCGCTTCAACTGGCTATGGCGCATCAGCGCCTATACATCCCAACTCTCGTCACTGTGTCCATCACCACTGTTCGCACACACTCAACTCTGGATCATCCTGAATACCCCACACGCGTTCACTGTATCACACACACGTATACACACACTAACACCTAACACTAGCTATGGCGGCTATGGCCGCCGGCTACTACTAATTATGGCGCACTGACTTCTTCAAGCCCACTTCGACCTCGGGCATCTGCAGACCACCTCGCACAAGACGCTTGGGCAGCACTTCCGCATGGCGCACAGCAGAATGAATGAATGGCTGGATGCTGCCTCTTGATTTATACTTCTTTAGGTCGTTGGTCTGCCCTTTTCCACTGGGCCCATGGTGCACACAGTCCCTATGGTACTCGCTGACTATACAAAGTGAGACTGGGACTGAGTACCGCTGACTAAGCGAAGTTGTACTCACAACTTGCCCTCTTGCCTCTGGTCTGCTGTGTATAACGTGAGAAGAACTTGAAAGGCCACTTCTGGACCTTCCGGAAGTTTGCGGACTTGGCGTTTCAGGACTGTAGCAGCTACGACATTGACCTTTCAGGACTGTAGCAGCTACGACCTTGACCTTTCAGAACTTCAACAACTATGACCCCTATGCAGGTATGGCCCCTACTTCGACAGGTCTAAGGTTCAAGATCCGACAACTACTCAGACCTACGACAGACAATTTTCAGCTACTAACACACAGGTCACGGGTTCAAGACTCACAGGGTCGACTTGATACTGTACACAGGTAAGGTAGGGTAAGGTGAGGTCTGGGGATCAAGCCCTGGGATCCGCATCTGTGTCTGCAAAAGGTGAAAACCGTTTCACAAATTGCCAAATTACAAAAACAAGCGGATGCCTGCCGCGGATGTGGCACAGCCATGGGGAAAATGAAGAAAACACATTGCCGACATCAGGCCAGTTCAGCCCTTAGGACGGCCAGGCGGTACAATGTGGACCGAGCAGGCATCATGTGGCCTGGTTGATACTATGGGGGTCA